CCCCCACAGCAAGAACCCACTTCCACCAACCCCCACAGCAAGAACCCACTTCCACCAACCCCCACAGCAAGAACCCACTTCCACCAACCCCCACAGCAAGAACCCACTTCCACCAACCCCCACAGCAAGAACCCACTTCCACCAACCCCCACAGCAAGAACCCACTTCCACCAACCCCCACAGCAAGAACCCACTTCCACCAACCCCCACAGCAAGAACCCACTTCCACCAACCCCCACAGCAAGAACCCACTTCCACCAACCCCCACAGCAAGAACCCACTTCCACCAACCCCCACAGCAAGAACCCACTTCCACCAACCCCCACAGCAAGAACCCACTTCCACCAACCCCCACAGCAAGAACCCACTTCCACCAACCCCCAACAGCAAGAACCCACTTCCACCAACCCCCACAGCAAGAACCCACTTCCACCAACCCCCACAGCAAGAACCCACTTCCACCAACCCCCACAGCAAGAACCCACTTCCACCAACCCCCACAGCAAGAACCCACTTCCACCAACCCCCACAGCAAGAACCCACTTCCACCAACCCCCACAGCAAGAACCCACTTCCACCAACCCCCACAGCAAGAACCCACTTCCACCAACCCCCACAGCAAGAACCCACTTCCACCAACCCCCACAGCAAGAACCCACTTCCACCAACCCCCACAGCAAGAACCCACTTCCACCAACCCCCACAGCAAGAACCCACTTCCACCAACCCCCACAGCAAGAACCCACTTCCACCAACCCCCACAGCAAGAACCCACTTCCACCAACCCCCACAGCAAGAACCCACTTCCACCAACCCCCACAGCAAGAACCCACTTCCACCAACCCCCACAGCAAGAACCCACTTCCACCAACCCCCACAGCAAGAACCCACTTCCACCAACCCCCACAGCAAGAACCCACTTCCACCAACCCCCACAGCAAGAACCCACTTCCACCAACCCCCACAGCAAGAACCCACTTCCACCAACCCCCACAGCAAGAACCCACTTCCACCAACCCCCACAGCAAGAACCCACTTCCACCAACCCCCACAGCAAGAACCCACTTCCACCAACCCCCACAGCAAGAACCCACTTCCACCAACCCCCACAGCAAGAACCCACTTCCACCAACCCCCACAGCAAGAACCCACTTCCACCAACCCCCACAGCAAGAACCCACTTCCACCAACCCCCACAGCAAGAACCCACTTCCACCAACCCCCACAGCAAGAACCCACTTCCACCAACCCCCACAGCAAGAACCCACTTCCACCAACCCCAACAGCAAGAACCCACTTCCACCAACCCCCACAGCAAGAACCCACTTCCACCAACCCCCACAGCAAGAACCCACTTCCACCAACCCCCACAGCAAGAACCCACTTCCACCAACCCCCACAGCAAGAACCCACTTCCACCAACCCCCACAGCAAGAACCCACTTCCACCAACCCCCACAGCAAGAACCCACTTCCACCAACCCCCACAGCAAGAACCCACTTCCACCAACCCCCACAGCAAGAACCCACTTCCACCAACCCCCACAGCAAGAACCCACTTCCACCAACCCCCACAGCAAGAACCCACTTCCACCAACCCCCACAGCAAGAACCCACTTCCACCAACCCCCACAGCAAGAACCCACTTCCACCAACCCCCACAGCAAGAACCCACTTCCACCAACCCCCACAGCAAGAACCCACTTCCACCAACCCCCACAGCAAGAACCCACTTCCACCAACCCCCACAGCAAGAACCCACTTCCACCAACCCCCACAGCAAGAACCCACTTCCACCAACCCCCACAGCAAGAACCCACTTCCACCAACCCCCACAGCAAGAACCCACTTCCACCAACCCCCACAGCAAGAACCCACTTCCACCAACCCCCACAGCAAGAACCCACTTCCACCAACCCCCACAGCAAGAACCCACTTCCACCAACCCCCACAGCAAGAACCCACTTCCACCAACCCCCACAGCAAGAACCCACTTCCACCAACCCCCACAGCAAGAACCCACTTCCACCAACCCCCACAGCAAGAACCCACTTCCACCAACCCCCACAGCAAGAACCCACTTCCACCAACCCCCACAGCAAGAACCCACTTCCACCAACCCCCACAGCAAGAACCCACTTCCACCAACCCCCACAGCAAGAACCCACTTCCACCAACCCCCACAGCAAGAACCCACTTCCACCAACCCCCACAGCAAGAACCCACTTCCACCAACCCCCACAGCAAGAACCCACTTCCACCAACCCCCACAGCAAGAACCCACTTCCACCAACCCCCACAGCAAGAACCCACTTCCACCAACCCCCACAGCAAGAACCCACTTCCACCAACCCCCACAGCAAGAACCCACTTCCACCAACCCCCACAGCAAGAACCCACTTCCACCAACCCCACAGCAAGAACCCACTTCCACCAACCCCCACAGCAAGAACCCACTTCCACCAACCCCCACAGCAAGAACCCACTTCCACCAACCCCCACAGCAAGAACCCACTTCCACCAACCCCCACAGCAAGAACCCACTTCCACCAACCCCCACAGCAAGAACCCACTTCCACCAACCCCCACAGCAAGAACCCACTTCCACCAACCCCCACAGCAAGAACCCACTTCCACCAACCCCCACAGCAAGAACCCACTTCCACCAACCCCCACAGCAAGAACCCACTTCCACCGAACCCCCACAGCAAGAACCCACTTCCACCAACCCCACAGCAAGACAAGAACCCACTTCCACCAACCCCCACAGCAAGAACCCACTTCCACCAACCCCCACAGCAAGAACCCACTTCCACCAACCCCACAGCAAGAACCCACTTCCACCAACCCCCACAGCAAGAACCCACTTCCACCAACCCCACAGCAAGAACCACTTCCACCAACCCCCACAGCAAGAACCCACTTCCACCAACCCCACAGCAAGAACCCACTTCCACCAACCCCCACAGCAAGAACCCACTTCCACAACCCCCCAACACTTCCACCAACCCCCACAGCAAGAACCCACTTCCACCAACCCCCACAGCAAGAACCCACTTCCACCAACCCCCACAGCAAGAACCCACTTCCACCAACCCCCACAGCAAGAACCCACTTCCACCAACCCCCACAGCAAGAACCCACTTCCACCAACCCCCACAGCAAGAACCCACTTCCACCAACCCCCACAGCAAGAACCCACTTCCACCAACCCCCACAGCAAGAACCCACTTCCACCAACCCCCACAGCAAGAACCCACTTCCACCAACCCCCACAGCAAGAACCCACTTCCACCAACCCCCACAGCAAGAACCCACTTCCACCAACCCCCACAGCAAGAACCCACTTCCACCAACCCCCACAGCAAGAACCCACTTCCACCAACCCCCACAGCAAGAACCCACTTCCACCAACCCCCACAGCAAGAACCCACTTCCACCAACCCCCACAGCAAGAACCCACTTCCACCAACCCCCACAGCAAGAACCCACTTCCACCAACCCCCACAGCAAGAACCCACTTCCACCAACCCCCACAGCAAGAACCCACTTCCACCAACCCCCACAGCAAGAACCCACTTCCACCAACCCCCACAGCAAGAACCCACTTCCACCAACCCCCACAGCAAGAACCCACTTCCACCAACCCCCACAGCAAGAACCCACTTCCACCAACCCCCACAGCAAGAACCCACTTCCACCAACCCCCACAGCAAGAACCCACTTCCACCAACCCCCACAGCAAGAACCCACTTCCACCAACCCCCACAGCAAGAACCCACTTCCACCAACCCCCACAGCAAGAACCCACTTCCACCAACCCCCACAGCAAGAACCCACTTCCACCAACCCCCACAGCAAGAACCCACTTCCACCAACCCCCACAGCAAGAACCCACTTCCACCAACCCCCACAGCAAGAACCCACTTCCACCAACCCCCACAGCAAGAACCCACTTCCACCAACCCCACACCCACAGCAGAACCCACTTCCACCAACCCCCAACAGCAAGAACCCACTTTCCACCAACCCCCACAGCAAGAACCCACTTCCACAACCCCGACTGCAAGAACCCACTTCCACCAACCCCCACAGCAAGAACCCACTTCCACCAACCCCAACAGCAAGAACCACTTCCACCAACCCCCACAGCAAGAACCCACTCCACCAACCCCCACAGCAAGAACCCACTTCCCACCAACCCCCACAGCAAGAACCCACTTCCACCAACCCCCACAGCAAGAACCCACTTCCACCAACCCCCACAGCAAGAACCCACTTCCACCAACCCCCACAGCAAGAACCCACTTCCACCAACCCCACAGCAAAGAAACCCACTTCCACCAACCCCCACAGCAAGAACCCACTTCCACCAACCCCCACAGCAAGAACCCACTTCCACCAACCCCCACAGCAAGAACCACTTCCACCAACCCCCACAGCAAGAACCCACTTCCACCAACCCCCACAGCAAGAACCCACTTCCACCAACCCCCACAGCAAGAACCCACTTCCACCAACCCCCACAGCAAGAACCCACTTCCACCAACCCCCACAGCAAGAACCCACTTCCACCAACCCCCACAGCAAGAACCCACTTCCACCAACCCCCACAGCAAGAACCAAGAACCCACTTCTCACCAACCCCCACAGCAAGAACCCACTTCCACCAACCCCCACAGCAAGAACCCACTTCCACCAACCCCCACAGCAAGAACCCACTTCCACCAACCCCCACAGCAAGAACCCACTTCCACCAACCCCCACAGCAAGAACCCACTTCCACCAACCCCCACAGCAAGAACCCACTTCCACCAACCCCCACAGCAAGAACCCACTTCCACCAACCCCAACAGCAAGAACCCACTTCCACCAACCCCAACAGCAAGAACCCACTTCCACCAACCCCAACAGCAAGAACCCACCGACTTGCCAAAGATGGTTTGCCCGATGGGCTGCTGATTGGGTTGACTCAAAATCCCATCCAAACTCCCCCAAGCATCATATTTCCACCTGGCAACACCGATGTTGGCAACACCGATGCTGGCAACACCGCATGCAGCATGCAGCCCCCCCACTCCAACCTCGGCACCAAACCCAAAACCCCGAACCCACCGACTTGCCAAAGATGGTTTGCCCGATGGGCTGTCCCAGGCGCCGCTGCTGAATGGACTCCTGCATGCGCTTCTGTGGTGGGGAGGGAAGGGAGGAGGGCGAGGGGTATGAAGGGAGGAGGGCGAGGGGTATGAAGGGAGGAGGGCGAGGGGTATGAAGGGAGGAGAGCGAGGGGTATGAAGGGAGGAGGGCGAGGGGTATGAAGGGAGGAGGGCGAGGGGTATGAAGGGAGGAGGGGAGAAGGGGGAATGCGAGTGGGCGATGGGCTGCCCCAGGCGCCGCTGCTGAATGGACTCCTGCATGCGCTTCTGTGGTGGGGAGAGAGGGAAAGGGGGATAGACAGAGGAAGGAAGGGAGGAGGGGAGAAGGGGAATGGAGCAGGAAAGGGAGGGTAACGAAGAAGAGACGATCCAAGATGGGATGCTCCAGCAGCTGCCGCTGGACGCTCGTTTTTTTAGAATTGACTTTGGAGTCGACTCAAAAGCCAGCTCGATCCAAGATGGGTTGCTCCAGCCGCTGCCGCTGCTGCTGGACGCTCGTTTTTTGAGAATTTAAAAAAATCGCTCACAGAGACGATTCAAGATGGGCCACCACAGCCGCTGACGCTGGATGCACTCCTACATGCACTTCTGCTGCGCTGCGCTGTCATCACTGCTGTCATACCCACCCCCTCCAACCAGCCTGTCCCACCCTGCACCACTCTAAACCGCACTAGTGCAAATCAGCGCATTGCAACACCAGAACCACACCTGCTTTCTGAGGAGCGCCAGGGCAAGGTAGATGGCATGTTCGGCACAGGACACAGCATTCCCCGTGTGGGCACTCAGGATACCCACCCTTCCCCGCTCTCCAGCCCACCAGCACATCTCACCATCAGCACAACTCAGGACACAGCATTCCCGAGTCAACACTCAGCACAAATGTTTTATACGATATAACTCACCTGCTTTCTGAGGAGCGCCAGGGCAAGATAGATGGCATGCTCGGCACAGGACACAGCATTCCCCGTATCAGCACTCGGAATTCGCCCCACCCTGATCCCCCTCGCCGTCGCTGCTGCCACATCCACCCCCTCCAGCCCCACCCCAAACTGCACTATCAGCCGCAGCTTGGAAGCTTCCGCGATGGTTCCCGCGTCCAGCCGGGTCATCCGCGGCACGACGACGTGGCAGTCCCTGATTTGCCGCGGGATTTCGGCCCGTGGGTGCCAGGAAACTTCCATGTTGGGCTCTTTGTGTAGCAGCTCGGCGGAGTAGGTGTAGGCTTCGGGGAACTCGTCTCCACAGAAGAGCACCTTATAACGTGTACAAGGAAGTCCACAGGGATCAACACGTGGATTCAGCATCGAAGGGGACAGAAACCAGAAGGTAGCAAGTTTTTATCAGTAGAAAGGCAGGTGAGTAGTGTGCAATTAAGGAAGTTTGGTCAAGGGAGTGTGGTGTGAGGGAGTGTGGTGCAAGGGATTTGAGCTTTAACAGAGCACTACATTCCTTCCCACGCAACCACTCCTGCCCGCACGCTGCATTATACCCCTTCCCACCGCACTTCACTCGTCCCTCGTGATGCATTCATTCTTCTGATCGTCTTGAACTTGTGTTTCGCACGGAGCTCCCTCCGCCGCTTCCCCACTTCCGCTTCCCCACTTCCTTACTGCAGCTCCATTCCCCCTCTCCCCCCTCCTCCCCTTTTCCCTGGCCTCCAACTCCCCCTGTCCCCCATTTTCCCATCTCCCAACCTTGAAGGTTCCCCCCCTTCGGCCAACGGCGGAGAGGCTACACGCGCGGATGCTTCAGGCGCAGCTGTCGTATGCGCCGTGCTTCCCACCTCTCCCATCTCGTCCTTCTCCCTTTTCTCCCCACCTGCTTACCTTGAAGTTTTCCCCTTCCGCCAACGGCGCGGAGGCTACACGCGCGGACGCTTCAGGCGCTGCTGTCGTAGGCGCTGCGCCTCTCGCCGCTCCCCCTTCCCCAGGAACATTCCCCGGACCCATTACGATGGCGCTGGCGATGCCACGCAATGCTGACGTGGCATCCAGCGACCGAGCGACCACGGGACGCGCGGCGTGTCGCAGAAGGCTAGTCGCTGGCGACATTGGGGGATGTGGTAACGGGGTAGCGTCTTTTTGAACAAATATATATAATATTGCGTTTTGAGCCGTGTCTAACTAGTGATCGGAGCTGCAAGACACTCCCTAGCGAGGAGATTCAAGATGTCTCAACAACAGTGATTGGAGCATTGTGAGAATGGCTCTTCCTAAGTGTGTTCAAACTCAAATACGGCGAGACTGAAGGACCACGGGAACCAGATCAGCAACTAGCGAGCGACCTGATCAAATCCCAATACCACGCTGCCGAAGCGCAGGCATTCACAGAGAAGACTTGCAGTTCTGACAGTGGATCATTTTAAAAAAGACCCGCGTATGCCAAGGATTCAGTGTGACATGTTTTTTTTGCCTGAACATATGATGTTATGCTATATATTTTTAGCATATTACCTTGATACTAGGTATTATATAACAGAATAAAAATATATTGTTGCTCGTTTTGAAGACGCATACGTTACATAGATGGTCCCTTTAGTCATAAATACGATCAGTATGTGATCTAACATCCCAATACACGTCCCAAAAGGATCCTATATAGTTTGTAAAATTTTCAGGGGTTTCAAATTGAAATTTTCAGGAAAATTTATTTATTCTGTGAGCTTCGGGAGGTGTGCAGATCAAGCTGAAAGTTGTATAGGTGTTACGAGTGCAATTGAGTGAACGAACGAGAATTGCACTATCGAAGCAAGAATACAATTGAGCGAAGGCATGAGCGAACATTATATAGCGAAACTATAGTGGTAACGGTAATGGTCGCGCGACGAGCCTGGGACTGAGGTTTGGAAAGTGTCGAAGCGTAGGCCCGGAGCGCGGGTTACCAGCCGAGCCGTGAGGTCGGGATGCGATGTGCGAAAAGGGCGGGATGATGAATGATGCGATGGTCGCGAGTGGTAACGGTGCTGACTGAGGTGCTACAGTGATGTACGCGTTGAGCAGGGACGCGAAGTAAGGAAAAGGGAATTTCCTTACACTACCCCCCTCCTAAGGAGGTCCTCCTTATGAAAGCGCGTGGATGTCTCGGAAATTGCGGCTACGCAGGTAGTCGGTGACGACGGGGTGATTTTCAACTTTCTCCAGGAGAACCCAATTGTCCTCGGTGGGGGTACGATCTTTCCAGCGGATCAGAAACTCCACTTTTCGGGCTCCTCGAGGGTCACGAACTCTGTGGCTCAGGATCTTGTCGGGGGTGATGACAAGTTCGGTTGGCGGTCGTGTCATGCTGGTGGGTCGATGTCGTGGGAGTTGGCTGGTGGATGGCACGTAAGGACGAAGTAAGCTGACGTGGAACGAGGGGCTGACGTACCAGTCAGCAGGGAGGAGGAGGTGCGCGGTGACAGGCGTGACCATGTGACTGATTCGAAATGGCCCACAGTATCGAGGGCGGAGTTTTGGAGTGATGGGCAGGCGGAGGTTCTGAGTGTCGAGTAAAACGAGGTCGTCGGGCTGATAAGTAACGGGTCTGCGATGGCGATCGGCGTTGCGTTTAGCGATGATGTTTGATTTTTTTATTGCTTCTGCTGCCCTGGTCCGTGCTGCTTGCAGAATCTCGGCGAACTGTTGTGCTCGTGGGACGGGGTTGTCGGGATTCGGTGTCATGGGTACTGTTGGGTCCTGTCCGTAATTCAAGTAAAACGGCGACTTCTGCGTCGTGGCTGATGGTGCGTTATTGTATGCGAACTCGATGAGTGGCAGCTGCTGTTCCCACGTATTCGGATCGTCGCACGTGGCTCGAATCAGCTGCTCCATGGTCTGATTTGTCCGTTCCGTCTGTCCGTCGGTTTCGGGGTGATAGGATGAACTGAACTGTAAGCGCGTGCCGAACTGCTGCCACAGGTTCCTCCAGAAGTTGCTTGTAAATTTCGTGTCCCTGTCGCTGATGATCGATGCGGGTATCCCGTGTAGTCGTACGACGGTGGTGATGAAGAGTCGGGCGGTTTCCTCGGCGGTGATTGATTTCCTGCATGCTGCGAAATGAGCCATCTTCGTGAGTCGATCGACGACGACCAGGATCGCGTCATTCCCACTCGCCCCAGCTGGTAACCCCGTGACGAAATCCATCGTCACCTGCTGCCAAGCACGCTCTGGGGGCGGGATGGGTTGTAATTGTCCCGCCGGCCGCTTCCTGCTTGACTTCATGAGCTGGCAAGTGGGGCACGATGCCACATGTCGTTGCACATCGGTCAACATTTCTGGCTAGTAGTGGTACCGCTGCAACTGCTGCCGTGTTTTTTCTACCCCGAAATGTCCCGAGGTAACTCCGTCGTGTGCTTCCTGTAACAGTAGTTCCCGCAGTAGCGTGTATCCTGGTACCCAGATGCGGTCGGTTCCAGCTTTTACGTAATAGACTCCTTTTGCCGCTGCGAATTGCTGTGAGTTGCCTCCTGTAAAGAACGGGTCTGTTTGATATCCGTGAGTAAATAGGCCTGTCAGTAGCGGGCTGGTCTGGGCGAGTAGTATCGCGTGGATCTGGGCAGTGGGGCGGGTCAGTGTGTCGGCGATATTCGAGGCTCCTTTTTTGTATGTGACCGTATAGTGAAAGTTCGACTCGAGGAAATCGAGCCATCGAATCTGTCGTGGGTTGAGGTGGGGCTGTGCGCGGAGGTACTGTAGAGATCGATGGTCTGTCCGTACTGTCACGTCTGCGCCGGTCAAGTAGCAGCGCCACACTTTGAATGCGTGCACGATCGCAAGCATTTCGCGGTCATGTATCGGGTAATTTCGTTCAGGCGGATGTAGTTTGCGTGATTCGTAGGCGATGGGCTGGAGGCCGTCGCCGAAGTCCTGTAACAGTACAGCTCCGATGGCGATGTCACTTGCGTCGGTAACCACTTCGAAAGGGCGGTGGGGATCAGCGATGCGTAGAACGGGTGGTGAACAGAGAACGTTTTTCAGGGCAGAGAAGGCAGTGTGAAAGGAATGAACAGGAATGAATTGACTAAGTCAGAGTTGGGTACAAATACAACCCTAGCAAACTGTACCCCATATGTGCTACCCCACTATAGCCTACAAACATGCATCAGCTATAATAATCTGACACACCCCCATAGGCAAAGTGGGGGAGAACAAGGGGTCACAAGACCAGTCAAGCAAAGCAAAGCAAAGCAAGCTCAGGGTGGATCACAAAGTCACCACACAGTCCGAGCACAAGAGCAAGGCCAGAGGCCAGTTCACATGCAGGAGTACAGACATATATATAAAACTAGACAAGCAAGAGCAGGTATATATATGTCAAAGTACAAGTAAAGTCAAGAAGAGAGCAAGTGAGGCAAGACAGGTACAAGACCCAGCTGGGTACAAAAGCGCTGATGGTCGCAAGGCGCAAGTGCCTTGGTGAACACATCAGCAGTGTTGGCCTCAGAGACCACGTAAGCAAGTCGCAACTGACCACGCTGCTGCAGCTCACGAGCAAGGAAGTAGCGGAGAGCAATGTGCTTCGTTCTGTGCTCCAAGCGCTGCTCTCGACACAAGGCCAACATGGCCTTGTTGTCTACGTACAGCACTGGAGGAGAACGAGGCAGCTCTCCAAGGTCAGTCAGCAGGTAGGTGAGCCAGCGAAGCTCCTGTGCAGCCATGGCCCCGGCGTAGATCTCAGCCTCACAACTGGAGCCGAGAACCGAAGACGAGCGAGTAGACCGCCACGAGACAGAGCCGGAACCAAGGCTGAAGGTGTAACCCTGTGACGACCGCTGCGTAGCCTGGTCGTCAGCCCAAGAAGCGTCTGCGTGCCCAGTAAGGACCACTGGACTCCGCCCTCCAAGCACTAGCCCCATGCCCGACGTACTGCACAGGTAGCGCAATACCCTCTTCGCCGCAGCCATGTGCTCTGGTCGGTGTCTCCCAGGAGCAACATAGCGTGCAAGGATGCTCAGAGGGTATGCAAGGTCAGGTCGTGTGCAGGTCATCAGGTACATGAGGCAGCCAACAAGCTCTGCATACGGACCACTCGACTCTACGGACTCATCCGAAGGCAGAGCTGAGAGTGAGTGGCGAGTAGGCAGAGGAGTGGCCTGAGGCGAGGAGTACGTGAAGCCGAACCGCTGAAGGACCTGCTGCACCATGTGTGACTGAGTCAGGGTAATGGTGCGGCGTGCTCTGTCCCGAGTGATCTGCAAGCCAAGGTAGCTGCGCAGTTCACCCAGGTCTGTGCACGTGTGTCTCTTCAGCAGCTCGGACTTCACGTAGGCGAGTCCAGCAGTGTCCGCTGTGGCAAAGACCAAGTCGTCAACGTACACGAGGATGTAGAACGGCGGTAGGGAAGTGTCGGTGCGAAGAAACAGCGACGGGTCAGCAGTAGAAGGAGCAAACCCAAGAGCCGCAAGCGTAGTCCTCAGTGTGTCGTGCCACTCACGCGGTGCATGGCGGAGACCGTAGACTGGCCGTCGGAGGCTCCACTGGGTGCCAGGAGGGAAAGTCCCAGTGAAGCCAGGCGGACGGCGCAGCCAGATCTCCTCGTGCAGGCTACCCTGCAGGAACGCAGTGCTGAAGTCGAGAGAGTGAAGCTCGTAGTCGCGCTGAGCGGCAATGTGCAGCAGCACCCGAAGAGTGGTCATCTTCGGGGTGGGAGAGAAGGTCTGAAAGTAGTCAACTCCCTGCCGCTGACTGAAGCCACGAGCCACGTAGCGCGCCTTGAAGACAGGCGGCGAGCCCGGCGGCCGCTTCACCCTGAAGATCCACATGCCACTGACGATGTTCGCCCCAGGAGGGGGAACCGCGTCAACGTAGGTGCCTTTGGACTTCCAGGAAGCCATCTCTGCATCCATAGCTGCCTGCCACTGAGAGGAGTAGGGACCCTCTACGGCCTCCGCGTAAGAACGCGGAGTCGGGATGTCTAGTGCATCCGGGTCTCCCTCAGGGGCTAGCAGTACAGACGCGAGACGAGGTGAAGCAGCGGCTAGACACTGGAACTCCTCCTGCCTGTCCTCTAGGACGTCCGTGCCAAGGGCACACTCACCCCCGACGGACGGAGGACAGGCGGACTCTGACTTAGC